ATGACCATAGGGGTATGGTGCAGATGGATCGGTCGAGGCCGACTTCGGCAGAACCCTGATCAAATTGGTATATAACAAAGATGAAAAGGGTCTTTTTCGAGAAGAATTCCTCAATGGGAGTTGTATTCGGTCTTCTGTAATTCAAATTTTACGCATTAGTAATATTAATATTATTGTTATTATTAATTGTTTCAATTGCATCCCATGCTTATTTTGAAGCTAATTATTCGGAATCTACTCCGAGCAGTATTCCTTTTTCTTACTCATTTTCTGTGGGAGATGATACCGTGGGTCCCTCACGGAGAACGTCCGTTGCGCGTGTCCGTCGAAAGTAGGTCACCCGCCCACTTCGCGCGCGGCGCATCATACTGAGGTCTCGAGGTGACATTACAGTACCCCCAAGTGTCATTGGAGCAAATGATTTGCATTTGTCTGTGTTATATTCTTCTTGAACTGACTGCCGTGGACCAAACGCGAAGCGTATGCCCCACTGACAATTGCGACGTCTGTCAAATGTCGCGGGCCAACTCGCCGCGTGCGACGGCTGCGGCGTGACCTAATTTCGACGGACACGTGCAACGAAGCGCACCCGGTCCCTCACTGATCGACAGCTAAAGAGCTACAATGTTTAGCTGTGGAGCAATTTAGTTAGTAAGCCCGTAAAAGGCTCTCTGACTGTGACTGATACAGCTGACTGGTCAGTTGTATCCGTCACAGTCAGTGACCTCACTGCCCTCCAAAGACTAAAAGCTGTGAATTGTCGATCCAGCTAAAAAGTCTTTTGATAGGAATCATGAGGCAATGGAACCAGGTGATTCCACACTTCTGTTTATAGCGCACAAGTCGAAAATGGTTTAACTATCCCTAAGAAATTAGTTTGATCACATGACTTTTCACCGAATCGTGTTTCTTTTGCAAAAATTGTTCTACATGTATTTCCAACTAGTTCTTCGTAAAAGTGTAAAAACTATATTGAAATAAAGTTCACTGTAGGAGGTATTTTGGATTTTAAGAGGTATATTTCATGTATATCAGACGAAGTAAGCATAGAAATCCGATAATGCATTGCACGAGCAGATTTGTCGAGTGATGACTTAATAAATCTACCAGCGGACAATATTAAACGTCATCTAATCGGCAATAGGCTTTATGATCATACGTGCTCGACGGATAACAGCGTTATTTGTCCGTTTGGAAGTAAAGGAGATTGCACATAGCGAGGAACTGTGCACCAACTTTAGGGTTCAGCCTTTGACGAGATGGGATGCTTTCATAGTCCACGATTTGCCCCACGAGCGAGCGAGCGACCTGGGGCGGCGCTTGCCCCTTGTTCACTGAATCTTGGTCGGTACCGCAGGACGAGTAGTCCCCCGCTCGCTCGCTCGATCGGTCGGTCGCTCTCGCTCTCTCCAGCAAAATCATGGACTATGAAAGCAGCCATTTATACTGGTGAGACGGGAAGGATGCTGAGCATACGCGTCAAGGAGCATCTTGCATGTAAAAGGCGTGGAAGCCTACTCATGTCTTAAGCTGAACAACCGAAATAAGTGCATTGCCATAACGAGTGAACTTCTGCCATTCATTCCCTTTTGTGGGCTTCGAGATCACGGCGTAATTATTATTTCACGACTGTCGATGGTGCTCATTAGTCTCTTATTGTACACGGAATCGAGTGGGACGGCAACGCTGGTAAAACCGCGGAAGGTTGGGTTTTTTGCAGGGATCTATTTTATGTTCAAGTTTCTGGGAGTTGCTGTAACTGGCCTAGCTCGTTTTGGCGCTTGGTCGAGAGGGCACAGATCAGGAGCACCAAACTAGTTCCGGGTCCTTGAAGATTACGAGTTGTTCGAGAAGTCGACCTAATAAAGCGGTTCCATCATAACAAACCTGTACAGTAAAACAGTGTAAAAACATTAGGTGTCGGCTCACTCGGTAATTGATCAATGCATGCAGATCTAACCAACTACCAACATTATTGTAGAGCCGCCGGAAGCCGAGAATGCGCGACCCGAAAACATCGATCTGAGACAACTCACCAGTTGATATCAGCGTTTTTTAACCAATATTGTATTGTCATACACTTTTACAATATGAAGACAGATGAACGTATTCTTCAAAACAATACAGTGAGAAAATGGAAAGAAAGTAGAGAAAAGAAGGTACAGGGTGAACCTATACAAAACTTGAAAAGTCGGGAAAAATATGAAGACAAATTTGGTCATAAGCCTACCGGTCGGCAAACCTACAAATATACACGTGACTTTTTACTGGAAATGCAAGTTTTACGAAGAATAATCAAAATAACACTGAAAGAATAAACTGGGTTCATTAGGTCCAGATGAGATCAATCACTTTTTTCTCCGTTTTCTTCGTTCGTTTCCTCATTCTGGTCATCACCAATCACGTCTTCCATAACATCCATTAGTACCTTCAAACGGTTTCTTGATTCTTCCAATTCTCCGTACGACCTATCCAGTTCTAGCGACTTCTGAAACCAGTAGCAGTTAGAAAAGGCTTGATGTGAGATGCAATTGAGGCAGATTTACGTTCAAAGCAAGGAATTGTGATTCACGCGCGTACTCATCAGATACCAAGAAACAAAATGCCAGACTTACGTTGAAGCTATTTTCGAGTTCAATATCGATCTCCTTTTCTAATCTCTCTGCCATACCACGCCAATAAGACGATGTTGGTTCATCGCATAATAGATCCTTAATAGCAGCAATAGATGGTCTTTCTAATCTACTGCTTATTGCAAAGATTTACAGGATAATAAACCTCTTTAGTTATAGGAGGCGCCTCCTTCGTGGCTACAACATCAGTCTGCGCATAAGTAGTGTTAACCTAAAAGTGACAATATACAATGGTAACCTGGAATAGTTTTAATTGATAGAAAATAGAACCACAGTAACGCCAGAAACATTGCAGGGCAATCATTCTATAGAAGAACACGCTTAAAAAGCTATGTAATCTTAAAGTCGATCAAGAGGAAACGAAGATTTCGAGAACGATTAATTGAAGGGAGCCATGCAAGACTCTCAGATCTAGCAGAGACAAATCTGTCTACAGTTTTATAACCGTGATGTAGCTTACTCTAACCGAGATGGACCATAACATTAAGCCATGGTTGGCCAGCCAACGCGAACGAATTAAAGGGATAACATTGAACGTAGAAAAAAATTACTTCAGCAAAACTTACTACAACAGTGGCTTGTGTTTCCTGGTTTTCCTTGCCCTCTGGAATGAGTGACACCTTTCTTCTTATTTCTCCTTTCTCCTTCAATGAATACAATGTGAAAATTTTCGAAAACAAAAAAGTAAATCAACAACTTACTGTGACAGGAGTAAGACTTTGAACAATATTCGCCTTCTTCGCATTGAGAACTTTAATAGATGGACTATTAGTGCTAGAATTGGAGAACTGTTTGAGCCCCACTCGCAAACTGGTCATTTCTTAAATGAGGATTAAGAATATTTCCTTTAACTGAGGTAATGCTAACTGTCATAGATATCGAGTGAAAAAAACACTGAATAGAATAGCACAGGCTAAGAAAAAACATCTTTATCAATCATATCTAACAAATTTCAGATTGTAGAATTACCCGGAAAAAAGAGTCTTCAATAGTGTGAGCACAGAAGGATACGAGGTTGAGATGGAATCAACTCGCCAATGGGATAATCACTAAGATGACAGAAGTGTGACATAATGAAATGATGGAAATGAACAAAAAAGCAATTCCTATACAAAAAGAAATTAGATACACATAATTAATGAAAGGGAACCAATATTTGGTGTTTACATGTAAATCTAACAGACCTACAAAAAAAAATAATTAAAAATCTTACAGTGAGGCAGGACTAAGTTATTTGCCGCTCCTCGTTTGCCGGTGTGCCTGGGTCTTCTTCACCGTCCGAACTCTCGAGAATCCTTTGCAATTGGCTATACAGCTCATCATGTTTACTGTCCAATTCTTTCTTTTCGGCGATATTCTTCATGGTCAACGACACGATCTCAAAAAAAGTAGTCAATAGAACGATACAACTTCACAAAAACCCTTCTTCAGCAAATCTGATGAGAAGTTACAGTAGTTACAGTGATATTACAGCAAACTTTTATAAGTGCAAAATGCAACTCGTTACAAACTAGTTACTTACAGCTTGCATTTCCTACATTAACCTGTTAAAATTCTCCAGTTGATTTCCTAGATATAAATGCTGCGCAACAATGTAATCCAAAGCGATAACAAAATATCGCTACCCGGGCAGGGTTCGTAGCTTCCTTCAGAGCAAAAAGTTGTACTGAAATTGTCTAAGGGATAAGTTCAGAAATAGCAAACTGGTGAAAGGCCTAGTCACATGCGCAAACGTTTTGAAAGCAGCAAATAGCTGCCCTTGTATACGACGGAACGGAGGAGATCTTACTAGAGCGGAGCCAGTTCCGAAACTACTTTGATCTCTCTTTCATGAAATGCCGCTTTTACATCAAAGCACGTCAAGCGACCCACGTTTCACAGCGACTACTGCGCAATTTTCCATGATTTTAGTGTTGTGTTATCACCACTAACAGAAAATGTCAAGTCTATTTAAAGACCACCTCCAATAAATTGAAGTGACTTGTTGGAGTTCCTACTCAGTTGGTAGTATATCGGTTAAGTTGCAACTAGTTAAAAGCTGGCCTCCGTCAAGCGTGATAGGTAACACTCTGAAGTTCTGAAATGCTTTCAGGTCTTCGATTACGACGAACTGGTAAAAGTTCCACCATTAAAAGACCTGTTTGGCACAGAAGCTTTGGCTAAAAATAGTACAAATGCCCAGGTTTCAAGAGAGGCGAACTCTGCTTTGATATCATTCTTGGCAAAACTTAACCGACCACTAATAATGTTGGATTCTCATTTAATGACGTATCCGTAAAGAAAAGGAGCTACATCTTCAAACACATTTGATAATCTATACTCTAGCTCAGCGAAACAGTGAAATAACCTACGAAAAAAGGGGAAAGAACTTCATTAAATCGGGGTTGCTCACCTTTTCAATTTCTTCTTTAATACCGTCGAGCTCGCTCGCCCGCTGCGTTGCAACTGCACGCCAGAAGACCAACTCTGGGTGCTCGCTTGGATCCTCTTTACCATCAGAAGAAATTGAGACTTCAGTGGAGAGGCTTACATGATCACATGAAATCTAGAACTATATTAACTTAGGCTTGAACGGAACCACAACATCTACTTTTATTTGCAATCGGATGCAGTAGGAACGATGAAAAGAATTTAAAAAAAATAGAAATCACAGAAACGATAGAGTTCTGATATTTTCTTAGGCGCTTATGCGCCGGAAAAATGAACGAGAGTTGAGCTTAACAATGATTAGCACCGAACACGAAAATCCCATCATGGAAGATAATGTGTCGTATGACAGGTGCCATTTGTCTTTTACTAACTGCCCATATTTACCATGCAGTATATTTATCGAAAGAATGGTACTTTTAGAACTAGCACACGACTGCGACCACAACTACCCGCAACGAGCTGCGCTGGGAACCACTAGATAAGTGGCTCAGCATAGCTGTTGGATAAGTGATAAGAACTAGAACAAATGAAATGTTGACAAGAAACTTTTTTGCCAAGCTTCCGGCGTGTAAACAAAAACGGCAGTGATAAAATTAACACTCATTCAAATTCTGATCTGCTAATGAACATCAGAGCGCTCTCATTCCTCCGTGGCCAAGACTAACAACGTTAGACCAATGGAAGCAAAAAGTGGTAAATATTCAAGCTGAAGACAACAAAACAAAGAATCTTAACGACTGACATCTAGAAAGCTGAGTTGAGGGGGATTTCGATTACTTATATAAGAAAAGTTTTTCAGAACTTAGCTAACAAGAAACCGACGAACGTCGAACATATTCAACAACGGGAAAGTCTCTTTCGAGTTAATCAACGTTGTTTATCATTTGAAGAAGCTCTGGTAGAAATGCCCATGACAGATCTGAAGAGTTCAAGAGCTCATTCAACTCGTTTTAGAAAAAAATCGCGAAGCGAGAGCAAATGAGATTGCAAAGAATGTACTTTGCTAACTGTGCGCCTCATCAGTTTTTAGTTCAAAATGCTCTAATGGCTGGAAATCTGATATCTTCGGGAATTTCCTTGCTGCAGGGAACTACAAATGCTGGTTTAGATTTATCACCCGGGCAGAACACAGGTGAGGGAAGAAATATATCGATAAAACATAGAAAAATTAAACGTACTTCCCATACAAACAAAAAAAAANNAAAAAAAACAAATGCCACCGCGAAACCTGACAGTAATAGATGGGGGTGCTTTAGTATAGCAGTCAGTCTCCGAAAACGGTAGTATTTGCTCGCATTTTAGCATTAGCTTGGTTAGGAATGTCTTTGGCATTGTAAAACTTCTTTTCGAATAAAAGTCCTAGTTTGGATGCAATAATAATGCTAGCGTAAAAAGAGAAAGAAAAAGAAGTTCAAAGCAACTAGTAGGAAAGCAAATAACAAACCTCTGTTTGCACTTCGACGGTACGACATGCTGGCTTTTCCACACTTTCGCATTGCACGTCTTCGAAAATAGAGAAGCTCCCCGTCTCAGTTTCGGACAATTTTTTGGCAATTCGTAGCATTTTTGCAGCAGTAGCAAGGACACCCTTTTCACTGCGCCGTAGACACAAATTTCAAACAGTTGCTATTCGCGCCGAAGCAAACACATGCAATGGGGCGCGATAACTCCCGTCACAGCTGTTAATGATGTAGATCCTTCAATGATCTGCCCTGGAAATGGTGTCCCTTTATTAAGCTCTCTAGTGATCAACTGTTCGGGAGTGGTGGGATTCGGAAGTTGACTCACCAAGCAACAATGACCCTTTTTGCTACTGCATTACCTCCTCCTCACTCTCAGAAAATGCACCCAAAAATTTCTCAGAACAGTGGGAGGTCAAAGGCTATTTATGATTGGCTAATATGATTCGGTCGGAGGACCGTATCATATGACGAGAAGAGAACGTACTTCAGTTCCAGTAGGCAGTGAGTGTCTATAGCCATAGTCTTCAAATCGGATCCATAGGTGAATCTTTGACTCTCGACTGCATCATTTCAGAAAAACATTTGTAAAGAGGTTCGGATTGAATTTAGTGCTTTTCTTGTCTCAAATTCGCGATATCGCTCTGATGGTAGAGATTTTAACTCAAACCATCATGAAAGAGGGAAAACAGCAACGAGAGGCGATCTGACTCTTCTTAAGAGCTTCGGCACTCGTACTCGTGAATTATACGTATACTCTGGGATCTCAACATTTCTTCCACGCTGCACACTCTTTGGTCAAAAACAAGTGTGGCGAAGCGCGTGTCGCGCGCAAGTAGCGCACAGCATTCGTTTTTTCTCTCCAAGTTCTCCACGTCAAGAAGCTTAGAGAGCTTTCGAATCCTATCTGGATACAATGTATCTATTCGGGTTAGACTCTTCTCATCGAAGTAGAACATAAAAGCAAATCAGGGGTATGGGTACATACGTGCGTCCGAGGATGCGCGCGGCAAATTGCGCGGCGAAGTGCGTGGAGATTCGAACGACTCTGGCGCCTATTATTGGGGTCCAAATTTGAAATACAGTAGATTAGTAAGGTTAACTGATAACACTGATCCACTCTACTCCAACTTTGGGCCCCAAAGATAGACGCCAGAGTGGTTCGAATCACCACGCACTACGCCGCGCAACTTGCCGCGCGCATCCTCAGACGCACGTAAGTTCCGTCCCCNACAAATCAGCAGTCATTTTTCTCGTGTTTCTGCAGGTGCAGCGTACTCCTTCCCGGGCAATTGAATTTGAAAAAGTTGTCGTATATGAGTTTAGACGACCGTTTTGAGTTTTGTCGTTCACCTGTCTACGCAACGCAATTCAAGAAGCTGTCATGTGGGAAATGTCGAAGCGAGGAGTGATCCCAGAAAAGGGCTTACCGAATGCGCGCAAAGACGGAACGATTGGTGGATGTGTGCGAGACTCCATCGTTTCTCGAAATCTGACGACATGAGAGCACCAAAGTAGATATGTGGCCTAAGGTATATCATAAACATGAGGGAAGGGACAGATTTATAGAAACCTTCCAAACGAGGGAATTACGGAGGACCAAAAGTCGTTACCAATTTCATGCCGCACCCTGTAGATGTAATTCAATTAGCCTTCTAAAATATGCAAGCTCCACAGACAGTATGAAGGGATGAGGAAATCAGCAGCTTGTGTCTTCCAAAACTTTTCATCAACCCTTATTTTTCCTATCACTTCCCTACACCTACAGTCAGTGTCCATCCCCGGTTATGTAGCCTATTTCCAGATTCGAACACTTCACGTTCAGAGCACCGAAAGTTGGGGGTCAAACTCAGCATTTCAAGTTTTATCACGCGTACACTAATCGTTCTTTTCCTTTCTTTAAACTGCTTGGAGCAGCCCCCGTCCTTCACGTTATCGAAAAAGTCGGGCTCGAACACTTGTGCCTACTACGCCTATCGTCGAGCGATGAATAGCAGATAGGCGCATCTGTTATAAGCGAACATTAGGTGATTGCAAAATTGATGACACCTTAGGGATTTTTCGCGCTGTAATCGTGCCGCTCAGTTCTTTTCATATCTCAAGTACATAGTTCACGGTCGGGAACGATAATCAAGGCATCGGGAATGGAGAGCATCTGTAAATAAACCTAAATAAGATTGAGTTTAATGTTGGCTGCCTTGCCAGCCATTATTCCACCCCGGGTGTGGTGCGTTAAGAACGAAATGTTCGCGGCGCGGTGAGAGGGCCGTCGCGCGCGAAGGAATGTCGCGGGATGCAGCAGTAGGTAAGAAATACAAAAACAAAAGTACTAATAGTAGAATTATGCATAAAATAATGATCGCATATCGATTGAGCTGTATGAAGAACGCTAGAGGTGTAATAACGGCGAATGAGTGGTCCGCGACAGCCGCGTGCGGCAAATCGATTACCCAAAATCGTTCCTAACGCCCGTCTCCCTTCCTCCCCACACAGCATCCGAATGGGTCCAGGATTCGTGATGGTATTATATTTGAGTCTTAACTGGAGTAAAATTTATTGATCATCAAAGATATTGCGGGGGGTGGAGATGTTTGATCGGGTAGTCACATAAATTGATTCCATCCTTTTAGGCTCCCACGAAGGTGGTTTCACGGAAACGTTAGCCATTGAGGTATTGTCATCCTCGTGTGGAGTTGTACAAATAAAGTCTTTTTCGAAAATATGCTGAGGTTCATCGAGAGCCGCACGTGGAGAGTACCCAATTTTGCTGGAAAGAGAGGCAACCACAAACAAAAATAATGTCTTTATCATAAATATATTTAAGAATCAGGAGAGAGTAATAACATTTATAATGCAGTACTATTAAAAATAGTACAATTATACGTATGAGATGACCGACAAAATAGAGTATCATGAGGTTCTGAGAGGAATTATGCGTCGATTATGACAAGTACAATGGCGAGCAACAATATCAGACATTCGTCAAACAAAAATGATGACTGGACAATCTGGAACAGCACGAGAATAGCGAAGGCTGTGGCGGTAACTAGTGAAGGCTCTAGACTACCGTGAGCCACAAAAAACTAGTTTTCGGAGTGTTCCTCGAAAGGAACGCTTCTTCGACGGGAACGGAAGTACGACTGATGACGTCGACAAGGACCGCAAGGCCTTCCTCGGACGGCACAGCTCTCGGGAACGGTTTTGTACAGGATATTCGATAGCTGTACCGAGGTTATCGTACCCATGACTTGTTTTGCAGCGTTGGCGTGGGATCCACTTGCGGAGGGTGGCGAACGACGTTCGTTCTGCTGTCTTGGGAAGGACCGGCACTGAGATCACTGATGCACATTCCTGAAAATAGCTTTCTCAAAAGATATTCATTTCACATTTCCTCCGATTTTCCTACCGTATAAAGCTCGGTCAATCATCTCCTATTCGATTAATGGGGCACAATGACTTGGGAAAAGGAGCAAGTTTGCATTGAAAGGGTTTCTGCTTAAGATAAACCATGTAACTATCTCTCCATGGAAAGGGCGTTTCGGTACCAGACCTGACTGGAAGATAAGTTCAAGCATAAAGGCACGTTCACGATAATTTGAGGTACCCTTCTAAGGTCGAAAAGTGAAGGTATTGGTTGAGAAAAGAGCATCAGTGGCAATGAAAGCGAAAAATCCTTCTAAGGAGCCCCTTCTTTTGAGAAGAATAAGGGTTTGTAAAAGTAGAAGAAGTAATGGTTGTACGAGATTACCACGACGGAAATGGCACAAAAGGGTTACTCGGACAAGATTTTAGTTGTTGCAATTGCGCAAAAGGTTGGCTAGATCGAGCAATGAGTGTTTAGAACTGCCCTTCACTGTCCCTATGGCTGCTTTCATAGTCCGCCGGCCGGCCAGCATGCCGGCGTGCCGGTGTGCCAGCCGAGGTAGTGCTAGGAGGTGGGAGGGAGGCAGACGAGACCTTTCGACGCGGTCGCGTCGGGGTATGGGTACTTACGTGCGTCCGAGCATGCGCGCGACAAATTGCGCGGCAAAGTGGGTGCTGACTCGAACGACTCTGGGGCCTATCATTGGGGTCCAAACTCGAAGTAGAGTAGTTTAGTAGGGTCAACTGATACTACTAATCTACTCTACTTCGAATTTGGACCCCAAGGATATGCGCCAGAGTCATCCGAATCCCCACGCACTTCGCCGCGCAATTTGTCGCGCGCACCCTCAGACGCACGTAAGTTCCATCCCCCGGTCGCGTCGCCATAGGCTGCTTTATAGTCCGCCGGCTCGCCGGCATGCCGGCGGACTATAAAAGCAGTCTATGGGTCATGAAAAGTTGTTTGAACTTCTACATAGGTGTCCCTTGTGAGTGGCTTCGCCTCTATGTATAGCTTAAAAACTCGCCCGCCTTTGGTGTGGCATGCAGCAAATACAATTTTTATGCCCTCATACCACCCTATCTAGGCCGTTTCCGACCTGACAACGTCTCATATGGTATGAGATTATTCCTGACCGGGTATCTCAGGAGCTATTTTTTATTGTGAGCTAAACCTTTGACACGCGGACCATACCATTAGTAGATTGAATTCAACAAGCATATTATGAGAAATTACCGGGTTCAAATCCCGGATCGGTATCTTCCTGGGGCTATTAGGCCCTCCTCAGGTTACTGTATAGGCCACATGCGCATGCAATGCCTCACTACGATACTGAGTATAGTACGAATGCGGGGGCGCATCCGTCAAATGGGATTGAATGATGCCAAAAGATTTCTTCTTTCTCCTGTTATGAAAGAGGGGGGAGGGGGGTAACGGAACTTTTCCCCTATCGCGGCATTCTCCCTTGCGGCATGCGGCAAATGTCACTGCGATTACCGTACTCCCCGCCAATCGATAGGACGCGATATTTTTCGTTGATTGCCTTGCTTTTTTATTGGATTTGTTTGTTTTTTCTTCTGTTTCTTTTTCGTTTTCATGTTTATTAGACTTGATTAACTAAAATGGCTCCTCCTATTCAAGCGGCGATCAAGACTGCATTGAAATTCAAGAAAGCGGTCA